CCCTCGAAATTTGGGTTCGCAAACTTGTCCTTAAAAGCGACCAAATGTCCGCTTCTGTACCCATGTGAGTCTCCATGCTTTGTAAACATCTGTCTCTTTTCCTCATCACTGAATTCGTCAAAATGGCATCTATTATTCTGACAAGAGCATCTTTTTGTTTCTGCTGAGATATTCCAGCCTTTTTGTATCCCAGCGTTTTGGTTTGATTTTATTTCCAGTTGTGCTAGCCAATCTTTTTCTTTCGAGAAGGAAGTCCCCCACCATGATAATTTTTTATTATTCCCTTTTTCCGTTCCTCTTCCACACACCTCCCTGCCGCACTTGTCCATTATAATCTTGTTGCAAGAATTCATTCCTTCCGTATGCATCACAAGAAATGTGCCATCCGCTGCCTTCCAATCTTATGTCCATTAATCCCCCCCGCCCCCCTATTGCTGTCTACAGCTGTAGGAATCTCTAGGTCTAGTAACAGTATAGAAAAACATTCTCAAACTCTTGGTCATTCTTAAGAAGATCATTGATAATTTCTGAAAGCGAAATGTTTAAAACACCGGGGTGAAGCGGAGTCGATGATGATAGCCATGGGCAATACCGTGGCTCCATGATAGAGGTGAATCGTTTACATTTTTGCAAGAGTACAACTGCAATCTTTCGCGGTCTTCTCCAAAGTCTTTACCAGACTCAGTTTTACCAGACATCGTCCTCGAGATAGGGAATCCGTCATGTATCCTCAGACTCAGGCAAACAAGTCAGGAAAGTGGTATTTAAAAAAGACCAGCATTAATTATAGAAGAACAGCCTTAATATGGCTGAACTATTCTGTAAACCTGACAAAGACTGACAGTTCATGTTTTGGGTGGGGTTTTTTCATTCAATGACTTGTTCTTGGTTCTTTCTTTACCAATCGTGAATTATAGATGCCGCCGGCGGAAGTTATTTCCTGGAACCACTCCTTCTGCTAAATCATATCTCTGGCATAATAATACCAATACCAAAGCCGAATATTTAAATAGACAATCTTATTGATGCGTGATATGTGAATCATAAGAAAATGATGCCAACCACAGTATATTATACTTCACGACTAAAACGTTTAATTTTGTGAGAGATCATGGAATAATACATGTATCAGTTCACGCCCATGGTCTCAGCGAAGGATAATTCCAAGAACAAAAAGGATTGTATCCAGATTGTCAACTATGAAACAGAAACAATAAAGAACATATGAATGCTTTCTGTGATATTCATAGTATTACTTTTGATTTGCTACAGTGTTTGCGTGTTTGTGGGTATGTGTGTGTGTGTGTGTGTGTGTGTGTGTGTGTGTGTGTGTGTGTGTGTGTTTGTGTGTGTATGTGTGTATGTGTGTGTGTGTGTGTGTTTTCGTAATTTTATTATTTAATTGTACTTTTTTAACATCTCTTTGCCTCCATTATAATCTTAGTCAGACCAAATGGTGCCATTCGCGGTCGAGTGTCATCACATGCGGATAGAATAGAGAAGTATTATTTCAATTAAATTTGATGTAACATTTCCTGCACTTAATATTAACTGGTCTGTCTTTCCATTTCATTAGATGTGGCCTATAAATGTACTATCTCTATGAAGACGGGGACTTTTAAGGCCCGTGGTGTCTGAGTTGTCGCTGGGCGCAATTTCTCTTCCGGTCTTCCAGTACTGTGTGTTTCTTTCTGTGTGTATATTTATATATATACACATTGTGTATATACATATATATATATATATATATATATATATATATATATATATATATATATATATATATATATATATATATATATATACATATATATTATGTATTCCCTATACGTGAATTTGCTGATATCATTTTCAGAAGAGGTGACCCTGTAATTCTCTGGTCGACTGATAATGGTTTTTCATGCTTTTTACATGCTCAGACGATCACAGACGTGCCTCGGGATCGGTTACGAATGGAAACAGCGATAACATCATCATCATCATCATCATCATCATCATCATCATCATCATCATCATCATCAGCAGCAGCAGCAGCAGCAGCAGCAGCAGCAGCAGCAGCAGCAGCAGCATCATCATCATCATCATCATCACCGACTAAACATTTCTCCTTTTTCTTGTTTCGTTTTTCTAGAAAACATAACAATTTGCACTATGTCAATACAAGTTTACGTAACATACACATACGGGCACGAAAACCAGAACACGGAACAAAAAAAATAGGAACGAAAAATAAAGGAAGAGTTTTATGGCACTGCAACACAATAAGGTCATACAAGTGGCGAAGAGTAGGAGGTGTTACAAGAGAGTAAAAAACTAAAAAAATGAGGGGAGAAAGAAAGGCCGATAGATGTTTGATAGGAAAGAAAGAGTAAACGACAATAAAGCACCCACCAACCACATACCTTGTGTGGGAAGATATTCCATCACTAATGTGCTTCTGCAGGGATGTTTCCCATGCAGTCGGTTTAGCTCAGGCAGACAGAATGGAAGGCATATTTTACAGGACCAGCTGCAGGTCAGTTACACAGGCATTCGGGGTTTTTTGTGGGTTTAAAAATATTTTTTTTTTAGATTCCCACTTACCTTGCCTTAAAGTGCATGACTCGATTGTTTTTGTGTTGATCATGTTTAGTTTTTAGTTTTACTTTTAGTAAGATTTTTACGGCACTTGTAGTATAATATTATAAATAGGTCATATTTAGGGCCGAAGACTTTAGGTGTTAGTTTAGTTTAGTTTTAGTGGAGGTTTTACGGCGCTCGCAAATGCATAAGGTCATATGAGCCCCAGAAGATTAGAGGTGTTACAAGAGAGTAACGAACATAAAAAAGAAGAAGGGGAGATAAGGACGATAGATTTTTGATAGGAAAGAAGAAGCAAACCACACCAGTTAAGTGTTAGTAGAAGGTAACATACAAAGAAACAAAGAAGAAGTATGGACGATAATTGTTTCAGTTTCAGTAAGACTTTTACTGCAATTGCAACACAATAAGGTCATATAAGTGCCGAAGAATAGATGTGTTACAAGAGAGTAACATACATAGAAAGAAGGAGGAACATACATAAAAAGAAGGAGGAGAGATCAGAACGATGTTTGATAGGAAAGAAAGAGTAAACTCCACAAGAACACTCGCCAACCACTTTTTGACGTGTGTAGTTTAAAGTAAAGTACATCGGAACAGTAAAGGTCATATAGTGCCGAGAAGGGGAAAAGAAAGAAGGACAGGCAAACATAATTAATAAAGGAAAAGAAAACAAGTGGGACTTTCCAGATGCATTCACAAGTCCATGTTTATTTGTTGAATAACACAAAACGAAATAAAGCAAACATCTAAATGCATTGACCAGCTCAGTTTTTAATACCACTTACATCTTTCCAAAAAGTGTATCAAATGAATCAAAATATTATACACTAACAAAAAGTTAGTTACAAAAACTGATCTACCAGAAGAAAAAAACGCCAGCGAAAGAAACATGTCTGGACAGTTGTGAAGAAAAATTATAGCGCAAAAAAAATTATAGAGACAGTGTTGGCACGTATATATGTTGAGTTCTATGACACAATTCATAATATATGTATCACCGCAAGGAGGCGGGGTTACATTGCATGTAAATGTGCGAGTGTGTATTCTTACACACACGACACACAGCACGAAAAATAAATTATTGCTCTTTGCCGATCTGTGCTCAAAGGTCAAGTCCAGGACAGGTTCTTGCTTGCTTGTTGCTTTTCGTATATTTGAATTTGTTACTTTTATTTGTCAGTTGTTGTTTTTTAAAAATCTTATTTCTCCTTTGGTGCATAAAGCGCTTTGTAATGGAGTTTTTCACTTTTGACACAGTTAATTGTGACAATTTGTAAAGTTCTCCCTTCATTTTCGCCTTACGTGTACTACTTAGTTGCAATTCTTTAATCACTCAGGGCTGTTGATCATCTTTTAGAGGGCCGTATCTCCTGTTTATGAAACATTTCACAAAGCACATCAGAGTAGCGAAGACGATACACAGAGCAGAGATTTGGAGGACGAGCGTGTAACAAAACCACATGTTGGAAACCTGTTCCATTAAATAGCTGATCACGACAGGATTTACCATCGAACCTACGCCCGCTGATACTGAAATGCACGTAGCCACCTTAACCGTAACGGGAAATAACTCCGCCTCGCACATAGAGTAACCTGCAGGGTGAACTGCTGAGACTCCTACGGCGAAGACTACCGAGAAGACGATAAGGACAGTCATCTCTCCAAACCACGCCCCTGCCGAAAACGACAGAAGAGCAACAAACATAATAGACAAACACATACTTAGAAGTCGTAGAGGCGTTACAAAGTTGGACATGAACATCATCATGAACCTTGAACAAGCAAAAGAGGCCCAGTATATGGATGTGATATACGTGGCTCGGGTTTTGGACATGTCTGCGTACTCCCTCACCAAAAACGTCATGAGGTAGGAGATGAACGAGTCATCGACGGCGGCGTAGAGAGAATAGTACACGCACAGCCAACCCATGACCAAAACCTTGAGGCCCACCGGCAAGTCACGACCCTCCCTGCTCACCTCAACGGATGTGGTCTCTTCTTTCCGTGAGCTCGTGAGTTTGGAGAGAATGAACATGACCAAGAATGGCACGGACGCCACTAGGCACACAGAGGCAGAGATGATGAACGCGTAAAGAACTTCCGTAGTTTGTTTCTGCTCGGTGAACCCTGAACTTATCGTAAGTGCAGAATGTTCAGACACGTTGACTTCTGGGACAGTTTCTCGAGAGAAGTTGAGCAACAATTCTGAAGACGTTGGGGGTAAAACTGTCTGAGACACGAGGTCATGAGTTGGCCCAGGAGTGCTCGCTTTGTTCTGCGCATTGAAGTTGGTCTCTGATTGGTTGAGCTTTTTGGCGAGAAACGGTGCTGTGAAAAGGGGAGCTGATAATGCCCCGATGGAGAAGCAGAAGTGAAGGAGTTGCATGAGTGACCTCCCCTCGTTACCCCAGCGCCTCATCGTCTCAGCGTTGCAACCTGGAGAAGGAAGAAAAAGAGTTTTAGTAAGAGTATTTAGGGCACTTGCTACACAATAAGGTCGTATTATAAGTACCGAGGATCTAGGAATAAATGTTTTAAAAAGGAAATAACACGCACACACAGAAAAGAAGGAGGAGAGATGAAGACGATATATGTTTCAAAGGAAATAAGAAGCAAACAACACCAGAGCAACCTGGCAACCACCCACGTTGAGAAAGAGAAAATACCGTACTTCTTTCTTCTTCTTCTTGATCGCATCAGACTTGAAGTCCGGTATCTGTCATATATTGGGCCGTCCTGCTCAGTTCATCAGTCGGCCCGTATAGCTTCTCCTGTAGCGTCAGTGGGGTTTGCCACGTTTCCTGTCTCAGGGCCCTGGGTGTCCTGCAGTGCTGAAGGATGTGTTCCACAGTTTGGTCCCCCTCTACACACTGGCATTTTGGTGATTGTACTATTTTCAAACATCTGTACATTTGTTGTCTCAGTCTTTTCTTATGTGTTCTTTGTCGGAAAGCCATAACTTTTTCTTGGCGGGACAGCTCATGGAAGTTGTCTGGTGTCTGTGGTGCTTTAAATAGTGTATTTTTGATAGTTTTCATTTATATATAGTTGGCGCTATTGTCTGGTTGCTATTTCTGGGGTCCTTGTTTGGCCATCCTGTCTGCCTGTTCATTTCATAAGACACCACAGTGTGATGGATTCCACTGTAGCATGATCCTCGGACATGGGATGTCCCCAATTACTTCTCGCAGCCTTGGTAGTTTGCCGGCAGTGACTGCCTGCAGTACTGACATTGCATCTGCTAAGAATACTACTTGGCTTTGAGGGTCTATCATATCCCTGATGATGCTTGCTGCATGTATTAGAACCTCCGTCTCTGCTCTGTAGTTTGTACAATGCCGCCCTGTTGGGGCTGCCTCTGCTTAGCGTCGTACATTTGGGAACTGTAGATACACTCCCGCTCCTCCTCTTTTCACAGCATCAGTGGCAGATCCGTCTGTATAGATCTTTATCCATGCTTCTCGAGGGTATTTTTCTTCAAGCATGGACAGGGTGAAGGATTTCTTGCTCGGGTCGCTGTAGTCATCTTATGAGGTGAACATAGGGATGGATGTGTGTATAATCATGTTTGTGCGTTTTTCTTTTCCTATGAAGATGCCTCTGGGGTATGGTTCTGCATGTCCAGTGTGTCTGGTAGAATGCCCTGTAGGACACTTTGTACTTTTCTGGGGGGGTTTTAAGGGGGGTGGGGGGTCAAATCCCCCAAAATCAAAATTCGGCTCAAAATCATGGAATCTGAGTTGTAGGCATATTTAGCTTCCACAGCCTCTCCTACAACTATTTCATGGCATAAGAACCCCCCAAAACCGTATATTTTCCCATACCGGGCAAGTTTATAACCGCCATTTCCTCATAAAGTCAGTATTTTATTTTTCTTTATCGGCCATTTTCTCAAAATGCTAAACACTCCGAAACATTCTCAGCTTCCCGGGAAGAATACCTTGCAAGCAGCTGATTAAGCGCTCAAACACTAACAAACTGACAAGATCTTTCGCTGTCTATTGCCGGGTACCCATTCCCACCTGGGTGAAGTGAGGAAAATTCGTGTAAAGTGCCTTTCCCAAGGGCACAACGTCGGGCCCCTGACGGGATTCGAACCCACGACTTTACGGTTGCGAGTCCGAGAGCCTAACCACTAGGCCACCGACGCCACTAATGTCATAAGCTGTTAGATCTTACCTACCCTAAGATCAGGGGTGTGGGTGAAAGACAGCAGTAAGAATGGGCCAATGAATAGCAGTAGAAAGGCTGCAGAAACAGTTAAGGGGCCAGAGGAGGGTGCAAAGGGGGTCGGGGCCAGGGCAGAAAATGGAGACGAAAGCAGACAACAGAACATTGTTAGATGTGGAATGGAGGTGAAAGGAGACCAATTTAGAGAATGAAAATTTTCCGTCGCTGACAGGTTTCGAAACCGGGACCTATTGAATGAGAAGCGAACATCGAACCCCCAGCCCACGAGAACACCCGATGGTGGTAGTTGTGCTACCGAAAGACAGAGAAAGAGAGAGAAACAAACACACATACACACACAGACAAAGACACACACACACACACACACACACACACACACACATACACACACATGTGCACGCGCCCACACACACACAGCGAAAGAGAGAGAGAGAGAGATAAAGAGAGAGAGATCCTAACCCTAACCCTAACCCTAACCCTAACCCTAACCCTATTTACTATTCGATACCGCCCTTTGACGGACAATAATCGATACTTCCCTGCCAGTTTATTATTCGATACCTCCCTTTCACGGACAATAATCGATACTTTACTGCCCGTTTATTATTCGTTACAACACTTGCTTGTACAGTACATCATCGATTGTCATTATACGATACCTACTTTTCCCAGTCTATCCTTCATCTCCGGATATTGTTGATAAATCCATGCCTGTACTATAGTCGATAACTACCCCTAACCTACTATCGTGCCCCCTGTAATTAATAGATATTTACCCTAACCCTTTAGATTTTGTGCAAAGTTGCAAAGTCTATAATCGATACCTTCCTACCAGCCATTAATTTATACCCCTTGCCATTTGTACGTTATTATTCGATACCTACATGTAATTAGTACACACCCGTCTTACCTTGTGATTCGGTCTCGC